TTTATTTTTTATAGAAAATCATTAATACTATCAAAACAAATAATTTATATAATGTAAGAGATATGCTACTATAGTAGTCCTTACAACTTATGAGTGAAAATAAAAAGAAAAAAAAGTAAAATTTTATGTTATTTGTATATATAATATATATTCAATATGATTTAATAATTAAATTACTTTAATATCATGTAATGGCTAATAATTTATATGTATATTTAATATTTTTATATATCTATATATGTATAATTCGAGTTTCGGGTTGCTCGAGTTGTTTGACGTTTTTGCCCAAACCCGCCCAAATTTAATTCGGGCTTCTGAATTTTTGCTCAAGCCCACACCGAATTTGAAAATATTTTGTCCAAGCCTTAAAAAAACTCAGGCTGGGCTCGGGTTGAGCCCGCCCAAATTACACCCCTAGATGTGATAGAGAGGTAATGTGACTTAAATAAGGTAATGTGACTTCAATAGTATAGTGACTTTTTGACTTTTTTAAAGGATGACAAACAAGGCCTAAGACTATGTTTGGCATGAATGGTTTGGATTAAAAAAATTGTGAAAAAATAAAATAGGTTAAAATGTTAATAAAATATAATATCATATTCAAATCATAATTATTTTGTTTTTTTTATTATAAAAGTTAAAAAAGTCAAAAAAATCCATTTCAAACAAGACTTTTAGGTCCAGACTAAAATAATCGAAAAATCAAAAAATCAAAAGGTCAACTCACATTTCAAACAAAGGCTAGGTGCAAAAAAGTCGTCAGTCATGTTTTCAATATATATATATATATATATATATAAGTAGTAATTTTTATGGAAGACTTATTTATAAGTCCTTTTTCAGACACTTATGGTAGGCTAAGTCTTGTGTAATTTCTTATTGAGTCTCAAGTCCTATTTAGATAGGAATGTATTCCACAAGATCCTACATAAACGTAACGTGACGTGACATTTACATAAACGTAACGTAACGTGACACCTATATAAACGTAACGTAACGTGACACCTACATAAACTTAACGTAACACTTACATAAACGTAACGTAACGTGTCACGTTACGTTTCGTAAACTTAATGAGTTTTTATTTTTTTAAATTGAATGTGAAAATGTTGCTGGTTTATGTTGGTGTCACGTTACGTTTCATATAAATATGATCTATAGTAACATTCAATTTCTTATATAGGAAATTGAATGTTGCCATAAATCATAGGTGTCACGTTACGTTACGTTTATGTAGATATGATCTATGGTAACATTCAATTGAATGTTACCATAGCTCATAGGTGCCACGTTACGTTTATCTAAGTGTCACGTTACGTTACGTTTATGTAGATATGATCTATGATAACATGCAATTTCCTATATAGAAAATTACATGTTACCATAGATCATAGGTGTCACGTTACGTTTATGTAGGCGTCACGTCACATTACGTTACGTTTATATAGATATGATTTATGGTAACATTCAATTTTCTATATATGGTTTTACTATTATTTATGATATTAACAACTAATATTGAGAGTAAATGTGTCAACAAACTTCCCACAGGACTTATGGGAACATAAGTTTTTTAGTATGACCATATGTAACATAAGTCTCCCTAACAGGACCTATAAATAATTTTCTCAAATTTGATTAATTTTAATAATTTTGTAATTATTAAATTGATAAATATTTTATGAGAAAAGTCGCTGTTTTTTTTGTTTTTTTGTTTTTTTTTTTTAAACGGCTTTTCTTGTCCCGTTTTTGCTTTGCTTATCTTTTGGTCTATTTTGAAAAGTAAATTTAAGTATGTTTTAGTTTTTTTTTTGTGTTTTTTTTTTTTAAAAAATGTGTAAAAAAAATAATGTGATAAAAAAATTAAAAAGTTAACAAAACTAACTTTTAACCCAATTAACAAAATAGGCCTTTGTCACAACAAAATTTGACCTTAACAAACATAGCCCAGCCTTTGCCCTGATTATGTTTTTCCAATTTAAAATTAATTAGCTTTTTTTTGTCAATCAATAATAGAGTAAATTAGTAGTATAAGATACATTACATCATTAAAGTTAAACCAAGATACAAAGTCAAGCCCAAGACCAAGACCAAGCCCAACCACTTATACACAATTTCCATAATGAAGAAGAAATAAATACCACTATAAAGAATATCAAATTCCTTTCTATAAAAGTTAAACCCGAGACTTCACACTACAAAGCGTGTTACACAACTATTAAGCCAAATACCTTGGTTTAAAAATTATTAATCGAAATATATTTGTAATTGTAACATCATTATGCGATTAGAAACTTAAAGTGATGGGAAGTAATTTAATTTCCAAAATTGTAAAGGACAATCCGTATTTTAAGTAAAATATAAATAATATGTTTGTAATTTAAAGTAGCAATGCCATTAAAAAAAGAAAAATGTTTGGGACCCCCATAAAGGAAGACCTTCACGACCCCTACTGATGTATTAACCATTGATGTGTTTGAATTTTTTATTGACAGTGACATGAATGATTCAAATCATTTTGAGAATTGTGGGGGTTGAGTTTTATGAGAGTCTCTATCATTATTGTTAAAAAAATGTGACATGCTTTAATGTATGAGGAAAATAAGTTTATCCATACGATGATTATGTAATTTTAAGTAAATAATAATAATTGCCTTGTTTGATTCCAAAAAATTGTGTTTAGTTTTCAAAAAATAGAATTTCTTTATTTCTTTATTTTTTTTAAGAATTTTTTTATAAATATTTTACGTAAATTTTTTTAATTTTTAAATACACTTAAAAAGTATAATATTTATGAAAAAAACTTTAAAAAATTCGCCAAATATAAAAAAATAAAAAATAAAAAAATGAAATTCAATACATTTTTCGTATTTTGTTATATTCAATAATTTTTTAAAATATTTTTGTACAATTTTTTTACTTTTTAAGTATATTAAGATTAAGTGAATTTAAAAATTAAAATATTTTTAAAAATATTAAAAATATAAAAATACGAATTAAAAACTCAAAAAACTATTTTTAAAATTTGAAAACCAAATAGGATGAATGAGATCAAAGGATTATGTATCCATTTATATATTTGTAAGAGAAATATTACTAAAACTTTTACCAATAGTTTTATTAAATATTTACAAATTTATATGGGTCTGATACCAAGTGATGATACATCTCATCAAAACTTGTGAGTGTGTTGTTAACAAAAATATTAATATTCCTAATATTATTCTTTTTTAATGATTGATAATTTTAATAAAATAACACTTATTTAAAAAAATATTAAATTATTAGTTATTCAAAACATAAAATTTGAAATCCTACAAAATTCTTAGAAGATCAATTTATAAAACCGTAAAGAACCGAGTGCATGAAATCACAAAAAAACTAGTGTAGGAAATTTCTACTTCCACATGGTAGAACACTTCTTCAGACCTCCCTAATAAAATAATAATCATTTATTATTTTACTGTATAAATGTTTCGTAATGTGAATGTTCACACTATCAATGTGAACATTCACACGTTAATATGAATATTCACATTGTAAAATATGAGTGTTCACATCACCAAATTACTAACCGTTTAAAAAATATTTGTAAGGAGTAAAAATGTCCGTAAAATACTTTAAATATGAGAATTAAGATTTGATAGATCAAATATTCAAATAATAAAACTTATTAAAATATAAGAATATCTTATGGAATAATTGGGATACAAAATCTTAAAAAAAGATTTTCTAATAAATCTCATATTATAAATTTCAACCTTTTTTAATATTTTATAAAAAAATTTAAAAGATTATTTCTATTAAAAATAAAAATTAAATTAATTAGACAATTTTAATGATTTGAGCAGATCCTATTTATCTTTAAAATAATAAATGATTTATTTTTAAAATTATTTAGTGTCTGTTTTTTTAATAATAAACGTGACATGATCATATAGTTAAAACTATCTAACCAATCTATTTTTTGATATGAATAACCTTTCCTAAAGTCTCTACAAAATGAAATGACATTTATTTTTTGCAATAAAGTATAAAACTTTGGAACAATTAATAACTCTTTATTAAAAATTGAGAGACTGCGGTTCTTTTTGCAAAATAAATAAATGAATTTTGATGCATATTTGATTCTTGGATACGTTTAGTTCCACAGTTATAAAACGCTCATAATCTTGCGTTAGGAATGGACCGGGAAATCGAGCAAATTCAATTTTAACCGCCGATGTAGTTTAATTTTTATTAGTTTCGATTTTGATTTTAGTTTTAAAAATAGTGAAATCCTTCAAATTACTCTGATTTTTTACTCTAATGTTTTGGTGCTTCTAATTATGAAAATGGAAACAATGGTTATTATTTATTATTTTTATATATAAAAATTAAAATATAATGAGTCTCTTATATGATTTGAAGATTAGCCTTGTGAAACTGATAAATTTCAACCAATTTAAGTAAATTAATTATTGTTAATTTGTTTATTAACATAAAATATATATCATATTTATTAATAAATAAAAATTTTAGATCCATAAAATCGAATCGAACCAAACAAAACTGATTTTTATGATTCAGTTCTGGTCTGATTTCATAATTTAACGGTTCAATGACGATTTTAATTTTTTTAGAGTTTGGCAGATTGGGTTGGATCGAGTGATCTCTAATACACCATTCGTTCAAATATAGGCGGATTTGAAAATTTTTCATTAGCATACATCCGTCTATATTATTAAAAGCGCTTAAAAATAGATTAATTGGATCGGGTTAGTCAATTTTACCGGATCGGGTTGGTCAATACCTAACCCATGTCCAACATGACAATGAGATTAATGTGTTAAAAACATATGTAAACAAATAAATAATAATCAGCAAACCAATTTTGTTTTTACATTTTCCCAGCATTCTCCAGAAGCCCATGAAACCAGCTAACTATCCACCTCTACAAGTAACTCCACAGTCTCCTCTCTATATATAACACCTAACCCACCCCATCAAACTTATTTTCTCTCTCTCTCTCTCTCTCTCTCTCTCTCTCTCTCTCTCTCTCACCAAAAAAATTTTGAAAAAAAAGAAAAAAAGAAGCTTTGCCATTTGAAGGACTCTCCATCTTCTCAATCCTCCAGAAAAGCAAACTAAGAAAAATTTATAAAAAAAATGACTCTCAGCAGCATTCCGGTACTAACCAAACAAGTCCTTGTGAAATTTCAATACATGTGAATGCGTTATGTGTATGTGAATTTGTATATGAATAATGTGCTTGTTGAACTGGTTTTTGTTTTTTTGTTTTTTTTTTTTGTGTTGTGAAAATGCAATTGGTTACGTCGGATCCTCAGATCAGCGAGGGAGGCCGAAGGAATCCGACGATGATTTGCGCTCCTGTAATGGCAGAGAATGTTGATCAGATGCTGTTAATGATGCGAAAAGCCAAAGAGCTCGGCGCCGACCTTGTTGAGGTTCGAATTGACTACTTGAAGAACTTTAGCCCTCATCATGACCTCCAAATTCTCATCAAGCAGTGTCCTCTCCCCACTCTCATCACTTACAGGTTAATTTTTCACTCACTTTTGCTGTTTTTAGTACTGGTTTGGTACTTCTGTTATGTTTGGTAGCTAAGAAAATATGGGATGGAGGATAGAGATGAAAATATTTATGTTTGGTTTGTAGGTTTTAAAAAAGTAAAAAAAATTCCTTTTTTTTAGTTCGTATTTTTATATTTTTATTAATTTTTTAAATATTTTAATCAAATTTGTTTCTTTACTTTCAAGATTCACTCCATCTTTATGAAATTTGTACAAAAAAAATTTACAAAATGCATTAAATACAACAAAAACTCTTTAAATGTATCTAAATTAGGTGTATTTAAAAAAATTATTTAAAATATTAAAAAAATTCACTAAAAACAAATAAAGTATGAAAAATAAAAAATAAAAAACTCAATTTTAAAAAAAAATAGTGTAAACTAGAAAATTCATTTAGAAAACTTATACATCAGAGTAATTATACTCACCTCCCATGAGGGTTAGAGAAAATATTGTTAGTTCCAAAGTTTTAACCTTAGTAGCAGGAATCATTACAGTAGGTAACGATTTTTTGGAAGAAATGCAATTTTGTGTTCCCAAATCAAAATCGTGTAAGAAACGCGATTCTTTAAAGAAAAAATAGCGATTCTTTTGGGAGAGAAACGCGATTCTATCCAAGATGGGATCAATGATGAAAACCAAACAACTCCCGAAAGAATAAAAAAAAAAATCCAAAGTAGATTTGGGCATAGATCTAAAGATATGGATCTGATTGAAGAAAAAAAATATGATTTTTTTCAAAATCAAATGTGGATTAGAAGAAGAAGAAAGATACATACTTACAGAAAAAAAGATGAAGCGAAACAAACCGAGAAAGAAGTCGAAGGAACAAATCAACCTAGGGTTTGAAGACAGAGAAGACGACAAAGCTAAGCTGCCCCACTTACTTGCTCTATTTATCTTTCTTTTCTTTTTTTTATATATATTTTATTTTGACCTGGCATATGGTCATGGGCTGCAGTTAAAATGTTCAATGGGCTTCATTGGGCTTATAGCTTACAGATTCAAAAAATAGTAGATACTAATTATAATACAATCAAAGCCTATTAAAACCAGGCATATTATATTATATAAAAAATATAAAAATAAATAAATAGGCATATTTATCTCTCTTCTCTTCTCTCGGTTTTCTTTTCTTTTCTCTTCTCTTCTCTCTGATTTATAATTTGTTCTCTCTTTCTCTCTCTCAAAAGATATTTAATTAATATATATGTCAATTATAATATATGTATATATATATCATATATCAATAAAAATAACTATTTATAAATCATATTTACTTATAATATATATGTTAATTAAAAATAAAATATATATAAATAAATTAAAAATATTATCAATAAAAATAATATATATGATAAAAAATAATAAATATATTTAAATAAAACATAAATGTTGTTTTATTAAATAAAATATAATAAATTTTATTCCAAGATAATGACTAGTGTTCTAAAAAATACCACTCCACTACTTCTATTTGTTATTCATTTTAAAAAAAATATTTTTTATGTTGTATTTAAGTAATTAGATATCATTTTAAAAAAATATTTTTTTATGTTGTATTTAAGTAATTAGATATTACATAAAAATAAAAAATTTATAACATATATATGTTAATTAAAAAAAATTAAAAAATGTTTATATAGATAAATTAAAAATATTTCGATAAAAATAATATATAAGCGCTCCCAAACTACGACTCCTTTACATGGCCACGCTTCCCCGCTCCCGTTCCCGCTCCCGCTCCCGCTTCGTGCAACTAAGCTTTTAACTAGTCTCCCTTGATGTTTTATATAATAGTTAAACCATTTTTCATCAGTAATTTATTAGTTGTACGAATGAAAATTTAATATTGTCATCTCTATTCTACTAACATGTATATTTATCGTTGTTTATTTTGGTATCTATGCGTTATGTACATTTGTTTCGGTCGCTTTAAACTTACTAAAATTATGGGTGCTTGCGGATTGGTTTTTGACTGTTCGGTTTACGATTTGGACCCGCTTGTATGTCTGCGGTTTGAGAAAAATTAAACCTACAACCGCCTGCAGTACGGGTTGCAGTTTGTGCGAATAAGGTTCGCAGATGTGTGGATGGTTGCGAACGGATTGCAGATTGAGCTTTTTCCTTTAAAAAATTATTATTAGGCTTGTTTTTCCCCATTTTTTAAATATTCTTTTGGGCCTTTTTAGTCATTTCCATAATTTCATCCCGCTTTCCTAACAATGCATCTTCAGGTCCCATATGTAGTGTCGGTGTTTCTTCTTCTTCTTCATTTATTCATGTCCTTGACGGAGTGTTGTATGTAATCCTACATCTACCAAACACAACAAAACACACTCTGAACAACATTATCAAAATGACAACATCAATTGAATTCAATAACCCCCATTTTTATTTTTATTTTCAAATGCAAGATTAATAGAATAGAATACTAATCAGCCTAAGAAGAAGATGGAAGGAAAATCAAAAATTGAAAGATAAATAAAACAAAAGAATAAAAATAAACAAACAATTGCAAAATGATGATTAGAACCAAAAAAAAAAAAAGTAACAGGAGGAATTTACCGGTGAGTCCAGTCCACATTTTCATGTTGAGTGTTCGTACAAGTCATAAGGTGCCCAAAGAGAGAGGGGCTTACCAATTCGCCAAAGGTTTTCAATGTATCAATTTGCTGATCACCGGTCATTGGTCAGTTAATACATAGAGAGCAAGAGTGAGAGAAATGAGAAAAGGCTGTTGTTGAGTGAAGTGAGTGAGAAAATAGAAGATTAGGGTTACATACTTACAAAACTTACAAGAAAATCTGACAGTCCAGATTTTAAAAAAAAAAATTGTATACAAATGCGGGCAAGCGAGTGCAGGTGCAAGTAAAACCCGCGATCTGCCTGCAACCCACGAAATAGGAAAATCCTAACCCGCATCCAACTCTAACGAATGTGCTAAACCGACTATATAGGTGCAGGAGATTCGGGATGGACGGTTTTTGCGGGTTGGAGGACCCTATGTCCAACCCTAACTAAATTGGAATTTAGTGTAATTATGTTAAAAATATAGGGCTGATTATATTTTCTTTAAACCTCAGTGCAGGTGAGTGTAATTTACCCTATACATAATAACTTCAGCGTGTTTTGATTCTGTCTCTTTACAACAAAAAAGCCTATTGAGATGGCTTTAATTGCACGAATAATACTGTCACATCATTTTGATGCAATATTCTGTATAAAATTTCTATTTGAATAGCATTTTTTAATATTCAGTTGGGTTTTGTGTGTTTTTTTAAGTATTTAGAAGCGTCTTCATTATGTGTCTCTAATGCAATTCCTTCTTCTAATTGAGGTTAGTTTGAATGTTTATACGAGACTTTCCAATATATGGCAAGTTGGTAACATTTCGAAGCCACTGTTTCTTTATTTTCATGGAATTTTCTGGGCAGCCAAACAGACAGTTGTTAAATTATGACAATTTTAATGTGATTTTATAAATTTTTCACATTTAAAATGTTATTCACTCTTTGTCTTTTTCTTTTTTCTTTTTTTTTTTGAACTATTCTACTCCACTTGTTGGAAGATCACTTCTTGTGATTGCTCACACTACTAATCACGCTACTAGCCAATGATTAGTGTTGGTGATAATTACAAATAAAATATCAGAAAATACAAATAATAAAAGTTACAATAACGGGCTGAGGCGCGGGAAATTCGCTCTCTTTAAGGAGATTCAAGCCCTCTGCGGTTAGGCAAAGCCTCACACTGGTGCAGCAGAAAAAAAACCTTGACTTGTCTCCCCCAGGATACAATAGTCCGACTAAGTCGTATGGTTCACCAATACTGCACAATTGGTTGAACCCAAAACTTTATCACACACACCCTTTTTATTTGCCTGATAATCTCACTCAAGACATAATAACACAATCAAAACTTCTTCTCTCGTATGTATTTAAGATATGACATATGTTCAAAATATATAGAAAAGAAAACTTAATAAGCAAGGTTCTTGATGGATAAGAATTGGTGGACTTGACCAAGACCTTGGATGGCTTACCTTGGAATGGATAGGAATGGAAAGACTTGGAGAAGACTTAGATGGATAAGTCTAGCAAAGACTTGGAGAAGACTTGGATAGATAAGGCTAGCAAAGACTTGGATGGATAAGGCAAGCAAAGACTAGGCAATGACTTATCTTGGAGCTCAGAAAATTATTATAATATTAAAATACCTGCTAACATTCCCCCACCTATTTTAATATTATAGGTAACCAAAATTGAGATTATTAGGCAAATAAGGATATTATGCATCATGGTAGGTGTGCTCTGCATTGAACCTCCATTAGTGAAACAATAATATCTACTCCAGAGCCAATAATATGCTTAGCATTGAACTATGACTACTTAAGGGAAATAAATAATTATTGCACACACATAATATTCCAGGTGTTCACAAAAACTTTAAAAGCTAGCACATTACGGCCTTGTGCGATCCCAGGATTCATGAGTGTGTTTGAGAATTAGCCCAAATCTCATAGGTAGCGGCCCCACTACCACACTCACATAGGTGAATTCTGTCAAGGGTGCTCCTGTAACTATAACACCCCACTCAATAAGAGCTACAAAAATTCATTAAGAGTTTTTTTAATAACTCAGCCTCTACAACATTACAGGATAAATGTACTTACATCATAGGGATGGGAAAAAAGTAATTTAGTGCACTTCTCACGGCCATCATATGATCGTTTTCCTCATTGAACCCAGTTACAGGATCTCTGGTCCCTGGGTTGAGTATCCTCATACCTGGCTCCTACTATATTCAATGGGCTTCAACCCCATCCCCCTCGATGTATTCCAGACTCTATCTCTTGCTAAGGCCTTAGTTAATGGATCTGCAAGATTATCACTAGATTTAATATAATCTACATTTATGATGCCATTATTCATATAAGATCTCACAGTACTGTGTTTTCTTCTGA